GGACTGCTGCAGTCGCCTCTTGCGTGTCACTCCTTTCAGTATTACAGCAGCCAAAGTGAAGTTTTTTGTTGATTTGCTTATTTTATTGTCTCAGCTTACTTGCTTTGTTAATAGGTAGTTTGGTTACATAGATTAAAATCCAGAAGGACCCTGGGCTTATATAATTCTCCTTCCAAGAGGTCATCAATTGACAGATTTTTAGGTGTCTTTCCAAACATATTTTTAGGTGTCTTTCCAAACATATAAACATCAATCATATTCTCCCATTCTTTCTCTGGCTCTCACTCTGCCTCCTGCCCCTATTTATACAAATAGTAACATACTATATACGTTGTTTTGCACCTCACTTTTTCATTTAACAATACAGAGTGATGATTCATTTAATATATTAATCTGATCACCTCACACGATCACTCTAGTTTTACATTCTTTTTTTTTGGGCTTGCCATTACTCTCATAATAAATCTCGAGATTTTTAGGATGATAGCCTTTGGGCCACACATAGTCTTCAGAAATGTTTTGCATGGTTCACAATGTTTTACAAAATTAGAGTCAAGCATCATTAGACTGGCTCTGCCCTATTCAGTTTGCTGCAGAACCCCGCATTCTCTATTGTATGGACTTGCCTCCCATCACTTCCTTCTGTCACCTGCCCAGCCCCCACAGGCGCTGGCGATTGCACTGCCTTCCTCTCCAGTCCCAGCTGCCACCCTCTCCTCACTTTCTCTGGCCACATTAGCCTTCTTTTGGTTTCTTCCATGCTCCTGAGCACCTTCTCACCTCAGCATGACACATAGACTCTATGGCAAAGCTGCCGGTGTTTCATCTTCTCGAATTGCTTTTTCCTCTTTTCACACCTGTCTGATCTGTGTACTCTTCAGGACTCACCTTCAAGGTCAATGCCTTAGGGAAGCCACCCCTCACATCCACATGGATTAGTCCCTGTCCCTTTCTTCTCTCTCATAGCGCTCATCAAACTTGTATCAGGTGTTAGATTATTAATTCTAAAATTGATGTATTGGTCACATTTTACTTTTTATGAACCTGGAAGATGTCTTACAATGAACGGTGACTTACAGAGAATGACTTGCAACTTGCCATTAGTGGAATTTTAGATTTGATGAAACTGTGTAAATATTTATTTGTAACAACATCTGTGTTCTCTCTCTCTCTCTCTCTCTCTCTCTCTCTCTCTCTCTCTCTCTCTCTCTCTCTCTTCCTCTCTTCTCTTTCTCTCAAGTTTGAGTGACAGGAGGCCAGGGGCCATGGCTCTCTCATTCCCCCCGTATGTGCAGTCAGACATGGGATAGACGCTCAGTAACTACTTGTGGATTGAATGAATAAACAAGGGAGCAAAGCAGGACTTTGTTTTACAGATCCTAAATTTGCCTCTCAATGTTTTAATTTTCCAGGATTTGATGAGTTTATGTTCTATATTCTTACTGTGTCCTTCAGGGCTCTAAGAGCTTGCCGCCTTCCCATTCATCTTTGTTTGTAGACTGAAGAGATGTTACTGGTGGTGTGTTTTCAAGAAAAAAGCACTTCATGCTCTGGGTCCCTTCAGCCAGTCATCTCTGGGCCTTTTGCAGTTGTCTGCACTGTCTTGTGTGGGGATGAGTGTTTTCTGAATTCATTCCTATTTTTTCCCCCTGGTAATTTCCTGCCTTTTGTTAATGGTTTTGATTGCTATAGCCAGTCAGGCTGGTATTAGGAAAGAGTAATCTCTGTGTCCATTAGGTGCTGCAGAAAATATACTTTGTCAATCTCTTAAGGTGCAAGCATTGCTACCTGTATCTCAAAAAAATATTACATTTGTTTTGGGGTGTCCCAGAAAAGAAAAAAATAAGACAAGAACTTCATTACACCATTTCTACTCTTACTCCCTGAATACTGTTATTACTATCATTAACCCAGATCTCATAAATCTGAGGTTATTATAAAAACTGGTTGAAGTTTTTCTTTATTACCATTTTGACATTGAACTTAACAAAACTTCATTAGTTTAATATAAAGGTTGTGTGACTGTAACAATTTATGAAAATTAATTTAGTAGGTTGCTTTTCAGGAGGGTGAGAAGTCAGGATTTATAACCTATACTTAGAGTGTTATTTGAATTTTTTCCCCCTGAAGGCATCATATCCTTCTTCCCAACAGTGAAGCTCTGGCCGATTTCCTGCTTGCATGCATGTTGATGACATGTTCATCCCACCGTCTTCCCACCGAGCCTTCCTTCCTGTCGGTGGGGCATTTCCCAGCCTGCAGGCGCTCAGTGTTGTCTGAAAACTTGTGGGTTTCTCTGTGCTGTGTCTCTCCCAGATTCATTATGAATGGGCTACACAGGATGAGTTCTACCCCCATCTCTGACAATGCTGCTGCTTTTATTTTTTTATTTAAAAAGTGCCAAAATAGGAGAAAACATTGCTCCTCATTGTTCAATAGCTTTTTAAAAAACAAAAACAAAAAAACACACACACACAAAAACAACATCCTGTGTGCGATCAAAGATTTTTTGAAAGTCTAAAATGTATGGATAAATTTTATATTGATCATACACTTTTACCCCAGAAGTTGAAATTGTACATAAATATAAAAAAAAACACATGTACATACACTTGTATGTGCCTATAGGTATATATGTTTTTATATGTATATGTGATATATGTTCATGTGAGATGTATTGGCTATAAAATGTCTTTTTTATTTTTGAAGCAGCTTGTGAGCAGAGACAGTATAGGAGTGTGGTCAGCAAAAAATTACCTGGAAGTCAAAAAGCTAAAGCTTCCAGCGCTGCTGTGCCCATAACTGAATGTGTGACCCTGGGCAAGTTATTGGCTCTTCTTGGACTTGAGCTTTTTTTTAATTGTAATAAGAGAAAGTAGAATTCGATCACTGGTTCTCAGCCCCAATTGTACATTAGAAATGCAGGTGCCCAGAATCTACCAAATGATTCTGATCTAATTTGTTAAAAATCTTCCCTGTGAGTCTCAGGTGCAGTCAGGGTCAAGAACGGTCACCTAGGAAAACTCTCGGCTGTCTCCAGGCCTTCGAGTCTCTTGCTTTCCTTTTCCTTCTAAGGAGAGGATGGATCAAGCGAGCAGAGCAGTTCCTTTTGTTGGATTTGTCTAATTTACACGGGATTACACAGAATGCTCTAAGTTAAAGAGTGCTTAGTGTCCCCACACATGGTGTCTACCTGCCTGTTCACTCTAGCATGGAGCTCCTTGCAGGCATGCTCCTCTGCATGGTTGAGCTTGCTCGTGTCTTCATGCTCTGTAGCAACCTCAACAGTGCTCTGTGGCTGGAAAGGATAAGAGTCCCTCCCCTCTCCCTTCCCCGTTCATGTGTCTCCTTCCCCATGGCCTTGAACTATGGCCAACAGCCTCGGTTTACTCCTCATCACCAATCTTTTTGCCAAACAACCTTTTCAAAAATTTTTACCTCTAATTTCCTTCTCTTGATCTCCTTACAGATTTTAATCTTTGTGACTCCTGAAACAACTAATAAATGCATTTATTGACACAGTAGGTACTTAGAAAAAGAATAATAGTTTTTAAGCATATTGGGTTCTAATCACTTCTGAACCTGTGGGTTGACCAGTGAATACGTGATATATATTTTTAACACAATAACAACTTACCAGAAGAAAAACAAATTTCAAGTATATTAGGTTTCCCTCCCCAAAAAACATTTCTTCTAGTTCTTTCCTCACCCCCACTGCCACCATCCCAGTTTAGGGCCAGGTTCCTTCCTCCTAGCCTCTTTTCCTTCTATAAATAATGAGAGTTGGCTATTACTGATGGTAGGCCCTGTGATGAGTATTTTCATGATCTCACTTAACCCTCACAAAAGGGAGTAAAGAGGAGGAAACCTGGGCTCGTGGAGCCTAGCATCTACTGGCATTTAGCAAAGGCTCTCTGTGCATTATCTCACTCAACCTTTTGGGTGACCAGTTTCCATTTGACCAAGGACTAAATGTGGACTTCAGTGTTTCATACTGGCCCTCAGTCACAAGGCTAGTCAATAGTGGAGTTAAAATCTAGACCACCTCACCCAGGAATGTAAACCATGGTGCTATTGCTTTTATTACTACCACTATCTTCGTTTTGCAGATGGGGAAATTAAGGCACAGAGAAATTTATTAACTTTGCCTAAGATCACTAAGCAATAAAAGACAGAGACAGGATTTGAACCCGGGTCTTTGTAGTTCCAAAGCCCAAGTTGCAAGCGCCCATACTCTTGCCTTCATTCTGACTTTATCCTTGGCACCCTGTATGTAAATCATGCCTCACTCAAGCCCTCCCTGAACACTGGTTTTTTTTTTTTTCCCTTGCTATTTCTGCTTAGAAACAGTTTGCATCTATTTTTTAGGCCTGAAGTCATTTGTTTATTTTTTTGGACTTTAAAGGTTGTTTGAGGTCTAGCCCTCCTCGCCCCCTGCCTTATTCCCACAGTGTCGAGAGCTTATGGCGCTGCTTGGTCAGTGTGTCTCTCTCACCCTCTCACCAGCATGCTAGACTTCGGTCTCCAGATGTCTTTCGTTTTGTATTATTCCCTTCATCTCTTCAGCCAGTTTTTCTTGAAGACCTGTCCTTTGCTGGCAGGGTCTGCTTGGAAGGCCTGAATCTACCTTCCCTGCAACAGCTCAAGGCCACCTTCTTTGGGCAGACCCTGCTGTTCTCTTCCCCTCTCTTGCTGTGCCTCACATCTGAGCTCCCTCCAAATTCGGGGTGCAGTGTGGAGCCTCATGAGGGAGTCCTTATGTGTAAAGTCGTACGTGAACTCCCTGAGGACAAAGACCACCAACGAACAATCCTGAGCTTGTAATAGTTGCATGATAAACAAGCAGCGAATGAGTTATTAATTTTGCTACTGTGTTCATTCTGAATCCAGAAAAGTGAAGTTTTAAAATGTCGATTGAGAAGTGTCTTTTAAGTGCATGTGACTGTGCTTATTGTAAGGGCTACTGAAACTGATCCTCTAAAACTCTGTTGTTCTCCCAGTAAACGTCCCCTCCACGGTCATGGAAGCCATGTGCCGGCAAGACGCCCTGCAGCCCTTCGGCAAGAGCAGCAAACTTCCCCCCGCCACCCAGCAGCGCTCTGTGGTGTTCCCACAGACGCCCTGCAGCAGGAACTTCTCTCTCCTGGATAAATCGGGGTCCATCGAATCCGGGTTTAACCAGATCAACGTGAAAAACCAGCGCGTCCTGGCGAGCCCGACGTCCACGAGCCAGCTGCACTCGGAGTTCAGTGACTGGCACCTCTGGAAGTGCGGGCAGTGCTTCAAGACCTTCACGCAGAGGATCCTGCTGCAGATGCACGTGTGCACGCAGAACCCCGACAGGTAACCCTGACTCCTCTGCTCGTGGTATGTTTCCTTAGGAAAACCCCTTCTTGCTTTCCTGACAGGTGCCAATCACCTCCTCCAGTCACCCCGTGGGGGGACCCTGGGATCGGAGGCGTCTGCGATCCAGCAGGTCAGAGGCGTGATAGGCCACCCCGGGTTGCGTAGAAGGGCCACACAAACCGTGGTCTCAAGAGGAGGCTGCGCTTGCTTTCCAAACAGCTTGAGTCTGAAGGGGAGCAAGATAGGAGGAACGGTTATGAATATCACGGGTGGAAAAATGAGGTCGGGATAATTAGAATCCCCTCCGTCTTCCAAAGATAATACACCCGGCCGCCCTGCTGCTGCCACAGCCGTTTCAGGGTTCACCTCCAGTGTGCCGTGGGTAGGAACTTAATTAAGTGCTAAGAGGTAATGAATTGGAATTTTTTGCTTAGTACTATTTTTCTTCGGAGCATGCAAACCCATAAATCCTGCAAAGCTGTCAAAAGGAAATACCTCCTCTGCTAGTGATGTGGAGGAAAACAGATGCCACTTATTCAATAAACTAATATCCACACCGAAGAAAAATGTGGACTAGATACCTCAGAGTCAAAGTTGGTTTGAAAGTTTGTCAATAAAGAATTTTATGGCCATGAACTGAGGATGAAATTTAGCTGAACAAGTGAATTAAAATTTCAGGTACTCTGACGAGTGGCATAGTAGATATAATGGAACTATTATTTATGAATCAAAACTGGTTTATTCGACAGCCTTGATCGCTGGGAGTGCAAAAGACAAAAATCAAATTAATTCAAAGAGAAAAAAAAAGTGTGTTTTATCTCTTCTTCACAGTCTGTGGAAATTTGATTAACCCTCACATAGCTAAGAATAGCATCAAAAATCACTTTCAGTATAAAAGCAGGGAATAATTTTTGGAAGTAGGAAAAGAGACTAGGAAGCAGGACTCCTGAGTTACTTACTTCATTGGGCCATGGGATTAACCGTAAGCCACATGGCCCTCCTTGCCTTACAATGTACACCAGTCTCTTCCCTCCCAGCTCAATAGGATATACACATGCTAGGAAATCCAGCAGGGAGGGTGTGGGCATGGTGCACAGGGGGTAGGTCTTTTCCTAAAATATCATTTTAGGGTCCATAGACACACTTACATGTGTACATGTTTTTATTTGCACCATTCTGGAAACCACTTACTTAGCATTGATCATTGCTGTAGCTAATTAATGACAAAACATTTACTTTCAGCTTGGTAAGGCAGCTGTGTCTTTACAATCTTTACCTTCAGTAGGAGAGTCTCAACCCTCACCTGGTGCGAATTAGTACTTTTGGCTTTAGAGAGGGCACAAAAGTTTTGAAAATGTTTCATTTGCTCAGAAAGGATTTTTTAAAAAGTTTGCCTTCCTTGCGAGTATCCATATAGCCTCAAGATTTATGCATTCAAAGTTTGCAAAGCATTTCAGTAGTTTAGGGGCATCTTGTTATTGTAAACTTATTTTTTTAAATTGAGTGAGTCTGAATGGATAGATTTGTTATTTGCACAGATTCATTGTTATCATCACTGAACGTGTAAGGTGAAAATGAAATGATAGTTGAAAGTTTCTGGGTGGCAAGCTTAGCTTTGAGTATAATATCATCCCGCACTGAATGCCACGTAAAGCAATGAAAATATGTCACAGTGAATAGGAAGATATCAAAATAGATTGTTTGGACTGGCCTCTGGAACACTTAGAAAACCATGTAGATAAAAGGTGTAATCATTATGGTGTCTATCCTGGCAGATGATGGTGTCATAACTTGTAACATGTTTACGTAAACCGTCAGAGGAGTACCTGATAAATCAGGAAACTTACGTGCACAAAACACACTTCCTTGAAAGACTGTTGGGTCATTGCTCATTCCAAGCTAATTCTTGGCAAAAGTCCAAGTGGCATGAGCCTCCTGTCCTGTGCATCTCTGGCTCAGATGCCAAGTGTGCTGTGGCCAGGCCTTCCCACCCCAGGTGAGGTGAGGGAAAAGGTGCTCAGTATCCTTGTAGTTAGCCAGAGGGGGACCTGATTATTCACACAGTATGTTCTGCTGCTCACATTCCTGTGCTTTATTGGTGGCACGAGAGGTGGTCACCGTCACTCATAAGTAAGTTAAAATTAAGTATTCAAAAAATGTAGTCCCTTTATAGGCAAAATGATGATGATGATGATGATAATGATGATATGCTGGAATTACTCCATTACATCTGGGTTGGTTATTGAGAATAAAGGGAACATAGGAGATACCCAGTCACTTTGACCCACTGGTCTCATTCTGGAGACGTGGTTTGCCTTTAGCAGTAGGACTGGAATAGCTTCTTTCAGGTTCAGAACCTAGAATGTTGTCTTTGTACCAGCAAATTTGGAAGTAAAAGATTCTCGCCATAATTCTTAACCCCACAGGTGCTATAATAAATAAGAGAAATATACAAAACTGAAATGGAACATCACATTCGTGTCTAATGGTTGCAAAATTTGGAACCTTTTCTATTATCCACGTGGAGAATGACAAGTGCTGAATGTCCATGTTGTCTTGAGGGAGTGACCATAAATCAAGTGGCTTTCCATCTTTGGCCATTTGTGCCAGTTCAGACAGAGACAGTGAAAAAGCTTAGAACTTACCAGTCAGAACCCATTTCCATTGATTTGGAAAACGCAAACACTTTTATTTTGATAGGAAAATCTGGCTAGAACCACAGGCAAGAGAGGAAGACGCAGAAGACAAAGCCAGAAGGTAAACAGGTTAGAGTTTCAAACGGGTCCAAATTTGAAACAGGCCGCTGAATCTTAGGTCCAAAAGATTTTTCACTCAACAGACTAAGTATTTAGCCCTGAAACCTAAGACATTTCAACCTTCATCAAAGAGACTTTGTGTGTCTATATTTGTGAGGGGGTATAAAAAAATCTGTGCCTTGATATAAAGAAAAGAGACTCAAGGAAACCTAGGGCTGCCAGCATCACCGGCTTTTATTTTTACTACCGTGTTATTTACATTGAACACAGAAAAACGATTCACATTCATGAGGGTCTGAAGAGCCACAGAATTGTTATTTCTTGGTCCCCCCCCCCCGTAAATATTAAACAAGCCCCCAAATCCCTTCTTCCTTTCTCTCAGTAACTGACTCTCCCCCCCTCCCCGACCAAGTAAATTCAAAGGGAAGAAGCTGTTGGAATCTAGACCAACTAGGATTTAAATCAGGAACTTCATAAACATGTGGGGTTTTACATAAGCTTCTGACCTAGGCCAGGGCAGCTGGACTCACTTTTGCTCGAACCAGGAGTTAGCAATCCCTTTTCTCTTCTGTTTTTCTGCTGCAGAAACTCTCAACAGTCCCATTGGGGGGGCTCCAGAAAGGGGTAAGCAGAGCCTTCAATCACCGTGGATTATTTGCTGATAAATATGTTCTCCTTCCTTCCCCCCTCCCCCCCCCTTGTAGAAAGTGTCTTTTTAATGCTCATCTTCATTTTGCATCCTTTTCCTTTTCTCTTTTTTTGGTTGTTTATGTCACGTGGAGAGAGTTTGCCTTTAACCTCCTGGATGCATCATCCGCCCGCTGCCCACACTTGTGTTTGTTTTGAGTATCATTGTTTGCATATGGCTGCGTTGGTACCAGAAGGGAAGACAACTCCAGAGGTTGCCGTTGGTGGGAGGAGCCTGGAGCCATCCATCACCGTAATGGTTTCTTTGGAATGTGTCAGTGTTCTTGTGTTCCCCTTCCCCCTCCCCCCAAGTGTGAAGGTTATCGACTTTCTGGCATTCCATGTTTTCCAGGTCCCCTGGCTCTGCTCTTTTGCTGCTCCCCTGCAACCTTTTCCTCCTCAGGGAGAGAGAGCTCAGGTCATTTCTCACCCCGCACACACAGCCAGCAGCAGGCTCCCTTTGAAGTCTCTGGGGATTTGCACTTGGTCTGACTAACGGGGCAAGGAGAGGATGTGGCCCCAACTGAACAACTTTTGTCCTGGAGGCTTTCAGGCCATGAAAAAAAAAATCAAAGAAGAATTAATAATATTTTAAACCAAACCACACTTCACGTTGTTATATGTTTCATTCTTTTCCTATGTGTACACCGAACCAATTACAGACTCAAGGTAAATGAACGGCACATTTTAGGGGAGGAGTCTTTGGCAGAGGAGCTGCCAGTTACGGAGAATGCCAGAGGATATACAGAATTGTCCCACTGCCTTCTTTCTGCTTAAGATCTGGCCAGCCATCTTAGACAATAAAGAAATGGACCCAGGCTTTGTCTGTCTTTTAGTTATTTCATTCTTGAGTATGGAACACTTTCTAGTTTTTCATGAAGCTTGCTATCTCTGTGGAAACTAGCCACAGGAGGCTGTTTGAATTGAAATTAATCAAAGTAAGTAGAACGATACTTTGGTTTCTCAGTCGCCCTAACACATTTCAAGTGGCAAGTGGCCCCCATATTGGACAGTGTAGATACAGAACATTTCCATCACTGGACAACACTGCTGGTAACATTCAACCCTCAGCCCTCAAGTAGTCCGAGAGCCATAAGCTCATCGTGGTTGTAAGATGTTGTCCCTTTGCGCTTGTTTTGGGAATAATAAAGTGCTGACTGTGTATGAGGGCTTGGGAAGAATCAAAGTGCCTTAGAAAGGAGAGTCCCATTTAGTTGTTTGATGACATAAGGTTCTGGAAGGAGTGAAGCTGAACGCAGCATTTGACAACGTCGGTTCTCCCTTGCTGCTTCTAGTGCAACTCACTGAAGAGAGATAGAACTTCGGAGGTGAACTTGATTGTGTCCAAAAGTTTAATATATTTAGTCCTACCTTTTGGCTAGATCTTTGAAAAGTTGGTGGAGTGTTAGTCATCAAAATAAGAAGCTGAGTAGTGGCAATTGATCCTGTGTCCCTAGCATCCCCCAGCAGTAAATTGAGAGCTGAGATATCAGGATATGCTCATGGGAACTTGCATGCAGGGTCTCAGCTCCTGTGACCAGCTGTCCCCAAAGAAGTTGTGAGGTTTGAGATTCCATAGCAGTGCTGTTTTCTAGGCCCTGCGTTTGGGCTTGAGGGTTTCATTCTGTCTTGAAAATTTTCCTGCATCCTTAGATGAAAGAGTAGGAGAAGTCAGTGTCAAAATTACTTTTTGAGTCATTTTCTTTTTTTTATTATTGCCAATCCAGATAAAGAAGGGATCTTGTTGACTCACTATGTAACTTCTGTGCTTTCTTAGGGCTAATTTCTGTAGATTTCTAGGCTGAGAGAGACAATCTGTTTTTATACTGGCAATTGGAGCAGACATTTTAGTTCTAAATTCTACATAAAGTCAACTTCTGTACAGGTGCATGTGACCTTATGGTCTAAAATCTTATTTCTTAAGGTTTCTTAAGAAGAATGGTTGCCACTTGATTTTTTTTTAGATCAACTGCAATAAGGTTTGGTCCTACATTCTGGCACTAGGTTTCCTTGTTGCTCTGATTTGCGCGCGCATACACACACACACGGAAGCTTTATGTACAGGGAACTGGCTAGTGCACATGATTGCAGGTGGAGATCATGTTGTTGATGCCGTCTCCTGTGAGCTGTGTCGTGGACAGATCGCAGGCAGCACACCTCTGAGAGCAGGAGCAGAGCGTGACAGGATGCAGGAGAGAGTCTAGGTCAGCCCACCCTCCCCCCCCCTTACCAGAGGTGAGAGATGAAAAAATACAGTCAGGGGAGTTGAGTGACTTGTCCAAGTCCCACAGCTGATTGAGGCCAGAGGCCAAAGTAGCACTTACCTCTCCTATTTTTCCTGTTCTAGACCTTTTCATTCAGCTAAGCTAAATCTGCAACGTTTTAAAAGCTGTGCCAGATACAGAGGCAGTAAAACACTGATCAGACTGTCACATTACAGCGGGAAAGCTGGAGAGTGTTGGGGAGTGAGGGGAAAGAGGTCAACCAAAGGACTTGTATGCATGCATATAAACGCGGCCAATGGACACAAGACACTGGGGGGAGGGATGAGGGCATGTGATAGGGGATGGGGGAGGTGAGGGAAGGTCAATGGCGAAAAATAAAGGAGATATATATGTACTACTATATGTAATACTTTAAACAATAACAAATTTAAAAAAATAAATAAAAGCTGTGCCCTACATTGGTCATTAGATGCCTAACAAATTCCTCTCAGGCTGATGCTGGGTAGAGGTGATGTGTTGGGATCCCATTTGCCTTTCATTGGGATGTATTACCTTGATATAAGAATTCAACCCAAGCCTCTCTGTGGTCATTTTTGTAAATCTTTGGGACCGTTGACATAAAAAGAATGGATTGACTTCTGACGATAGAAAATAAATTACCCCAACTTCTGACAGCAGAGTTAGAAAAAGAAAAGATTAATTGGTTTTGTTTAGTGGCTTATTGTTTATTGTGATAGCTATTAAAAATAGATAACCAGAGGCTAATAAATGTTAATGGTCCCTTTACTATTAGAAAAATCAATTGTCAGTGGATATAGCATATAATAATGTATTATTTTATTTATAATCTTCAATAACATTTAAAAAATTCACCCCTGAGAGAGTGATTTCTTGAAAAAACTCTTTAAAGTTAATGGTTATAACAAAGAAGAGATTTGGCAGGAGGACATTTCATCTACATATAACTTTAATGGCTTTCAAAGCATTAGTTTATAATTATAATAAAATGTGTGCGCAATTTGTCAAGATTGATAAACTCCTTATCAAGGACTCTTACATATTTCTTTGAAACCTGTTTGAGAGCAGTTAAATAGATTTCTAAGTGTAAGTAATTAAAATTGTATAGTATTGAGTTATTGATCAATCCTGGACTATTAATCAAGCTAAAAAATTCTACAATCAGTGCTCAGCGTGCTGAAGTCTGGTAAAATAATGGTATTTGTGTTCAGTGAGGCAAGTAGCCACAATTAAGCACTTCGCTTGACAAATGAGAGGGTCCACTTTATTTTGCACTTAATTGAATTGTTGTACATGCCCGGTCACCATTGTCTCCCAGCCTCACAGTTTGGTTTCTGGTCGTGGGAGTTTAAGTGTTTGTTAAAGGTAGAACAATTAAGTCCACTTGCACCATGGGCTTTCTACGTGTAGCCAGAAAGTCCAGGCCACACACCAGGGCTCATGAGTGCTGTTAATATTCCTCATGACAGATTCTTCATCTTCCTAACAAAAATGCGGATAAACAAATGGGAATCCTGTCGAAGAATGACACGAAATAGCTCAGACAGTGACAACTGCCCAGGTTTTCTATCACTCGGCAGCTTTTGCTGAAGTAAGCAGAAGAACTTCTATAGAGAAGATAGAATTTTAATCTATTTTATGAAAACCCAAAATTGATCTGATTCTCAGGAGATGGAAAGAATGTTCTCTAGCAGGCTTGCTAATTATCAGGTATTTGCCGCAACTTCCATCCATTTGCTTTTGCATCGTAGGCCCAGTGGCATCTCGTGGTTTCTGAACTGTGATCACTTACCGCTTCTCCCACATGAACCAGGGGAAGTGGAGTTCAGGAACAAGGCTCAAATGGAGAAATATTATTGGGGGGGAGAATAGGGGGAAGTCAAGCTCCTGTGCTTAGAATAAGGCCCAGGGTGACTTTGGCATCAAGAATTTGTTTCCTGTGAGGACAGTTTATCCTCGGTTTTCTGAACTGACAGAAATAAGAAGGACGCTTTCCCTGTTCCAGGGGATTATTGTGAAGATTAAACTAAATAAGTGGTTTTAAACCCCCTTGAAAAGTTAAAAGTGCCATGGAATTATCAGAGACAATTACGTATTTTCTCTTGTAAGATGCTGGCTGATCAGGCCTGTACTCTCTATGCTCCCCAAAAGTACATTAACATTGGCCTGGGGGAAGGGATAGAGAAACAAGAAAGTTGGGGTGCTTGAAATGATAAAGTTAATACCAGAAAAAAAAAAGAAAAAGAAAAAAATCATTTGGGACTTAATGTCTCAGCAGTTCTGTGAATTTTGTTCCAGTGGCAACAAGCCATGGGAACTTGTGGCTAAAGTTCTATGCAAAACAGAAAATGTCACCAGAAAGTGGTGGCCTTTGTTTCACGTTACTGACATCCACTGACCCACATGGAAAGTAATGACCAGGCAGTCTGTTTGTTTGTTGTTTGCTTGTTTCAGACCTTACCAGTGCGGCCACTGCTCCCAGTCCTTCTCCCAGCCTTCAGAACTGAGGAACCACGTGGTCACTCACTCCAGCGACCGGCCTTTCAAGTGCGGCTACTGTGGCCGTGCCTTTGCTGGGGCCACCACCCTCAACAACCACATCCGGACCCACACTGGAGAAAAGCCCTTCAAGTAAGTGGTGGCTGATCTTTCACCTCTTTCTCCTAGCCTTTTCCGAGAGCCGGCAGACAAGGCGGATCGGTGCTGCCCAGCTCAGCCAGTGGGTGGAGAAGGCTATGTGGAAGGTTAACGTCCAGGCTGTAAAAGGAACTACTTGTTTAGTGGCTGATGTTTGCAAAATGAGGTCAGGAAACCTATACATTGATCCTCACTCAAGCTGTTCAACCTTAGACACAAGACCAACTTTCTGGGACTGTTTTCTAATCAGTAAAATAAGGAAGTAGGAGTAAGTCATGTTAAGATTCTTTCTAGTTCCCGTGGATCTATGCTTCTGGAAGTGGAGCTGGGAGCTCAGTTTCAGAGTGCCACCTTATGGCCATCTGTAAGCCCCATGTCCATCAGCAAGGTGGCCTCAATTTAGGACATCTCTTGAGGACCTTGAACCCTATAAAATTCTGGTGAACTATTTCCCTTCTCTTGGTTTGACTCTATTATGGCAGCCAACTTGCAATTTTTAGTGTGCCTTTTGGATCAGCATTACCATGTGGGTAAAAAAATAAAAATAATAAAAATTCAAACATAGGGCATGTCTGAGTTCTTGAAGATTCAGGGAGTGTAGAAAGAAGTGGGACTAAATTCCAAGGGCTTTGGCTGAGAGAGAGAGAGTTTGTTTCTTGATATAGCACAATCATGAAAGCAGTGGACATCTGAATCGTGCAAGATGGCCCATCACTCATTCATTCATTCATTCATTCATGTCCATGCTCATTCATTTGGCAGATACTTACTGAGTACCTTCTTTTGTATTGGGCGCCCTTCAAGGCACAAAAGATACAAAGGTGAATGAGACTCAGCCCTCCAGCCTTTAAAAACCTCATAGTTTATGGGGAATCCCAATTGATGAACAAGTATTACCACATAGAGTGAAAGATGCAAATGTGAAATGCAATTAGATGTATATGTAGTGTCTCAGGGTAGTGCAGAGGTAGAGCAATCTATTTTGTTTGTGGGAGATGATATCAATGTATTTTTCCCCCAAATTTTATTTTTCAATTATAGTTTCTTTTCAGTGTTATTTTGCTTTAGTTTCAGATGTACAGCAGAGTGGTTAGGCAGTCTACAAAGTTCTTCCCATCCTCTTATATTTCAAGTGCTCACCTGGCACCATACATAGTTATGACAATATTATTGACTCCATTTCCTATGCTGTACTTCACATCCCAGTGACTATTACAAAACCATCTATTTGTACTTAATCCCTTCACCTTTACACCCAGCCCCCTAAACCTCCTCCTCCCAGCAGCCATCAGTTTGTTCTGTGCATCTTTGAGTCTGTTTCTGTTTTGTTTTATTACTAAGAAGTGTTTTGAAGGATACATAGGAGTTTTCCAGGCATTCGAAGGAAAGAGACGTTGCTGGTAGCCCAGCCGGCATGTGGATGGCTTGGGACTGTGGAGTAGTGTGGATGACTGGTCTGTCTCTCAAAACCTTTCCTACTCTGTGTAATGACTCTTTTCTGTTCAACCCTCTCACATCTCTCTTTACTTATTTACCATAGTGGCTTCCTCTGGTGAAGAAGGAAGACAAAAAGGGCATAGATGGATAGCCTATTTACCTTCTGTAGGACAAGACCAAGCACGAAAGGAAATGATTCAGGCAGTGGGACTAATCCCCCGGCTCAGTATCAGTCAAGGAGCCTCTCCAGGCTCTCATTACCCAGGCTTTCTCCTCGGGACCTCCAGGCGTGGTGGTTGCCCCGGCGCTCAGTCTGTGTCTGGGCTCGGCTTAGGGTGGCAGAGTCCTGCTGGCCGGGATCCTGCCACCTCTGTTCTGCCAGCGAGGAAGGAGCTCCTAAAACGCTGTCATCTTCACTCACCACCCCACGCATCAGTCACCTTCACTCAGTATCCTTCACTGTTTTCCATTGTGGTTTAAGTTATGACATGGATAATAAAAATAGTTTTACTTTTCATCTTTGTATGTGGGTGCTGCTTGATCACTGCGTAAAGACATCTGATCAAGGGGATTGAATGGGTTTTCAAACCGAGCCGGCACTAACGCCAGCCACGGGGTGACGCCTGGGTCTGAGCTAGCCCAAAGGTCTTTTAAGTCTCCTTACGGACCAGATGGGTTAGCACAGCCCTAGAGTTCCCTGTTGTGTGTCCTGCAAGGTGGGCTCTGCATGGCCCTCAGGCCTGACCCTCAGAGCGTCACAGACTCTGGCCTCCCCACTGCTCTGGGTGTGGAAGATGACCGCGGCTCCTCTCCCTGAGAGCCTTTGAGCCAGAGAGCTTCTCAGAAGAGACGCGGGACTGACAGTTTTCTGGCCCTCGTGGTGCAGAGGGCAGCCAGACGGACACAGTGCCAGGATCAGATTGATTTTTATCTTGTTGCTGTGTAAATAGATTTTAGTAATTAATTGAAGGGGTTTCAGGGTCAAAATGGGAAATAGATTTCTATTAATGTTAAGGTGTTACTTATGTGTAACCTCGTTGACTCCACTCAATTTTTTTTCTTTAACATCCTGTTTTTGTCATGTTTCCAATAGAGTTGCCATTTTAACTTACTTTTAATTCATCAGGGTACTCTCTTGAAGGGCTTTAGCAATTTTATCTTCTTCCTTTCTACACGTATGCTTTTGTGACCATAACCTCCTTTCATGTGGGGGAAGGGGGCAGATAGCCAGAGTTGGGTGGATTAGATTCTATGTGTGTGTTTAGTTCCTTCTGTTCCTCTGAGTACTCTTATTAAGATTAGCTACATGCTGCAGGCATTTTTTTAAACTTACCCTATATATTCCTGGAAGGAGAACTGAGTGTACGCTTATTTTATAAGTGCAAGATTTTAACATCTTCTAGGAAGTGGAGAGCCAAGTCCTAAAGTATATACAAACGGATTGGTCAGGATTGAACTATCCCAAGGGAGTTTTGGGGATCTTCCAACATAGCTCATGGATTTCCGTCTCATGGACATTTGTAAATATTATGAAGATGTCCTTTTACAAGCTTATAAAACAAACATTCAAAAAAACTTTCCTTGCAGATCAGTCAATAAAATGGGTTTCACCACAACAGTTAATTTTACTACTTCAACTAATGGGTATTGGCTTAAACAATGTTGCAAAGAAGGAAAAGAATCTTGTAAAAGATACACAACCCTAAACTCTCCATGTTGGGCGGCTTTCAAATAGATGCCCCAAATGGCTCAGTCTCCCGCTTGTCCCACCCGCCCAGGGCCCAGGAGGCCTTCCCAGAACTCCCAGGGGCGGGGCCAGATGGAACCTGCCACATCTTCCCAACCTCTAACATCTGCTGCTTTGACTTGGTTTTTGAAGGCAGATCAAGATGATTGCCACCCATGGAAGGAAGGCTGGAGAAGATTTGGCACTAAGGGATGGGTCACGTGCTAGGCTTTGCCTCAGTCTGCCTGGCTGAATTCCCACTGAAAGCCTCGGCCCCACAAGTCTGCCAGGTAGCTGACCTACTAGAGACTGAGAATTCTAAAGATAAAGGAGCATGTAGGGGGAAATGCATATCAAGGATGACATTAAGGGTCTTGGCTCTCGGTTTGTATTGTGAGACTGGAAGTTTACGGAGAACGAGGAACAAAAGCAAGACATCATTTCATTTAACAGCAATTGCCAAGCACTTTATTGAGAAAAGGAAGAAAATAAAGAAGGACGTTGGCAGTCTAAAACATATTCTTTGCAATGACAGATCCTTTCTCCTTCTCCGTTACTAAGCGCAGTCTTGCAGGATGTCAGGGAGGTTGTCAGGGACGTCCAGGGAGGTTGCTCTGCCTGGCAGGATCCCCACGAGCTGCTTCCCGCCTGGCTCTGGGCCTGGGGGCCCGGGACGTGTCCGAGGAGAGGCTCTTCTCTTCATCTGTTAGGAGCAGGGGCAATCCTCATCACTACATTTTGCCTTAAGGAAAGACAGTTTGGCTCAGTGTTTTAGAAAATCAAAGGATATTCCAGAGAGCAGCCAATACTCTAATAAGAAAAAGGCAAGATCAAAGCAAATTGAAAACGCACATCAGTAAAAATTCATTGAGCACATCCTATGTAGGAAACCCTGTGCAGTTCGGTTTGGCTCATAAAGTATTTTTTGACAGGTTGTAGAGGCACAGAAAGGAACAGAACTTGACATTATTTTGCATCTCTGTCAATTTCAGATGGTAATTGTTAAACTCCCTGTACCTATAATCCAGTCAACCATCACAGTAAGTAAAGATGAGAGGAAATCAAGTCCAATTAAGAAACCTATACTGATAGAGAGTTGGGGACTTTCTCTTTGCTGAACTATTTGGACGTCTTTCCACTTCACTGTTCCTGCGATGTTCCCCTTCAAGGCTATGACATAACCACAAGGAAGAGGACCCCGTGTGCAAGAACATTTCTTTGCTCCTAGCTCATTGCCTGCATCTCTCTTTCTCCTCCTCATTCTGTTCCCCTGCATGAAGCCCAGGCTTAGAGGCACCCATGCACCGTCATGCGTCTGGGATTGTAGTTCAGGGTTAAGGGCCAGCCTAACCAACGTCCAGCTCTGACCTGCTAGAACCTAGGGATTTGCATTGAATCTGTCCTTCGGATGAGTGTTATTAAGCTATGAAAATAACCTGTGAAGGAAACTTTTCTAAGATTAAAGATGATCTACGTAAAACTGAAGTCCTTCCATTATTTAAAAATATTTTTTATATCTAGCTCTCTTCCTCAGTAATACAAGTTGTATTCTTCTAATTCCCAAACCACATAGATATTGCTAAGCCTGGTTCTGAGTGTGATTTTGTTCACACTTGTGAGGAGATGGCACTAAAGATGAAGTTTCAGTAATGGCCTCATGGGATGGCTAGATCTGACTTTGTAAATTTCCTGACTGTTTCCACAAAGTGTTCTGTGAGTAAAGATCTGTGAGACATTTAGGCAAACATGTGAGAAATGCCTAATTCTCCTTTTAATGTCTTTGTCCAACCTGGATGTTTACATATTACATATCCACATACACTTTTGCCCTTCAATAAAATATGAGACTTCCTCCTTAATATTCTAATACACAAGGTTAGAAGTGCAAAAGTATGAGCCAGGTAAATTGTCATGCCTCATAATTGTTCCAACTGTTCTGCTCTCGTCGAAATTGATTCTAGAGCTTTGAAATAAAATTTTTAAAAAGCGAGTATAATAATTTGAAAGTTTGTCAAGCAGTGAAAGGTAGTATATTTTGACACACTAATCCAGGAACTAATCAGTTTTCTAATAAACAATCAGCAATTCACTAACATGTCATCAGCACTTCAGGAGCTGTGGAGAGGGGATGAGCTGCCCGTGGACGTTAATGAATACACCGAAAATCATTAGCTGGTCAATACTTCTGAGTTATTTTCATTGAGTTGATAGGTCTGATACATTAAAGCTGACATTATACATTTGTCAAGATCACAGTGCAGTTTTTAACAGTGGAACAGGCTGCTAAGAATATTCCCTGAAAGAAACAACTTCTTCACCCTGCCACTCACACACAGCTGGCAGAGGGGGGCCTTGAAAAAGCCACACCTGAGAGTCGAGCGCCAGCCTCCCACTACCCATAAATGTGCAAGAATCTCCACGGTGAATGGGTGTGTTCTATTTCTATAGGTGATTATTCCGATGGCAGGGGATTTTGCATACTTCACTAAAAAGGAAGGAAAAAGAGGGAACTGCTCACCAGATAACAAGACTCGGGCGGGCGCAGGATAGGACAATGCGGACTTTTCTCATGATGATTTCTGCCACATCCCAAGTATGCAGGGACCCTAGGGCCGCAGGTAGTGTTGTTGAAAAGAGGGACAGTTGTCTGCAGCTGTCCTGAATATCTTTTCTTCAAAGGTTTGAAGAGAGAGCATGAAGGGGATGGCTGAGGCAGCTATTATGCCCTAAAGAGTGCCCAGCCAATGCTCCAGGCTGCCCAGGCAAGCAGGGGAGTGACAGGAAGTCACTGGGTCCAGCTTGCTGCCACAGTGTGTGTGTGTGTGTGTGTGTGTGTGTGTGTGTGTGTGTGTGTATACAATCATAAACAACCAGCCAGTAACACCAACCATCACAGAAAAACCAGAAGCCACTATTAGGGGTGTGTGTGTGTGTGTGTGTGTGTGACTGAATAGCCATCAAGTTAATAATGTGTGATGCCTGGGAGATAGGTCAGGCCCACAGATCCTTGATTATAATATTTTTTGTTGTTGTTGTTGTTAAGGAGAGGAAATAGTCTTGAAGTGTGAAACCAGGTTTCTCATCAGACACACCACCTCTTCATTATGGCCTGCAAGGATATTCTGTGACTGTACTTTGGGGAGAGGTGAACTTCTTGACCCACACAATCATAGGTCCGTTTCAGGCTTTTTGAGCCCCGACCCAACCACAGACACTGTGCTAATCCTGAGTTCGGTTGGCCTGTGACACTAGAACAAACTTCTGCACAAAAGCAACCACCCGCCTCACCACCCGCCTTCCCACCGCAGACTAATGGTTCCTTCCTCTGGTTTCCACACGCCAAGAGGCTCGCCCCTTGGCTGCTGTTTCGAGGGGAGTCGAATTCCCAATTTTAAAATGAGCAGCAGGTGAAATTTTATTTGTCATCAATTTCTCTTTCGGGTTACGGAGCAGAAAACTGGAGACAAGCTGCTGCTTTGATGGCTCACTCCTAAAAAATCTCTTTTTGTTCTTTATCTATCCGAACTGACAGTGATCAGAGCTGCAGCAGGACAGGGCCCTCTGGAGAAATCACCTCCCCCGCCTATTGACAGATCCTTCTGCTCTGCATCAGACGGGCTTTGTCCCATCACAGGCGTCCGGGCCTTGGAAGGAGCCACCAATTAAACCTCTTGAGCCGGGGAAATCTGAAGCCACTTTGGAGTGTCTGTTCCGATTAGGCAGGATGAGAGGACGCCCATCGCCCTGCGGGCCCTGCTCCCTGGTCTCAATTTTCTCTCTTGCCTCCACCAGGTGCGAGAGGTGTGAGAGGAGCTTCACGCAGGCCACCCAGCTGAGCCGGCACCAGCGGATGCCCAACGAGTGCAAGCCAATCACCGAGAGCCCCGAATCAATCGAAGTGGATTAACTGATTGACTGGTTGGAATTAAACTGCTAGGAAAGTCATGATTAAATGTCACGGACACTTAAGCAAAACCAAAGATTTCCTCGGAGCAACTTTCAATCAGTCCCAGAAAACCAAAAGCAGTAATAAAATAAGTAAGATGTTAAGAGATATCGATCCCGGCGTGGAAGTCAGACCGGGGGAAGAGATTATTTATTTATGACTAGGGATGGGACTCATTTCAGTGGTCAGCTAACCTGGGATGGCCCGCGTGCCCAGTCCCGCCATGTATTTGCTTTGTTTCTAAGAAGCTTTTCTAAACTGTTATTTAATACCAAAGGGAGGAATCGTATGGGTTCTTCTGCCCACAGTTGTGACTAAGAATGCACAGGGACTTGTTTCTCGTTGCACCTTTTTTTAGTAGCATGACCCAAGGGGACCCACTGTACAGTCCTTCTTCCTGCTGTTTCCGATTGGCCTGGCCCGGTGGGGCCCGTGGAAGCAGAAGCAAGAGCATCCGCCCGGCCAGTGCCACCTTCAGCCCCATAGGCATCCCATTCCGTGTTTTCCGCACTCACTCTTCATGCACTTGTCACGTGGCTCCTCCCATCCAAGGCCCTTGTCCTGATGCAGAAGAGCCCAGAAGTGGAAGAAAATATGGTTTAAGCGTCAACGTTCAAGGAAAAAAAAAATGGGGACTTCCTTTGTCCTGTTTCAAAAACCTGTAAAATGTGCGGAGCTTCATAATACAGTATATTGTTCTGAAGCAGCTAGTGGAGAAAATTTTGTTTTCAATAACATTTTAGCTTAAAAAAACCCACAAAAAAATAAAAGTTCTTCGGTATGAGGCTGAATATAAGGTACTAGGCTTCATGTAATTTTTTGTTGCTGTCGTCGTGTCTGTGGAAGTGTTGAATATGTGAAAAATAGTGCCGGTCCCCACTGTCAGGGCCCTGTTAGGCAGTGTCATCTTCCTTCCTCACAGACCCTCCTGGTGTGCAGGGAGCTTTCCTGCAGAAACAGGCACAAGGAACCTAGACCAGGAAACGCTGAGAGGAGAAGGAGCCACAGAGAGGACTGTGGTTAGTACAGATTGCCCGGGGAAAAGCTAAATTTATCAGTGGAAATTAACCTTTTATTCTCCTGTGGCCCTGGGTAATACTCTTCTCTCAGCACTGAGCCACTGAAAGGGAGAAGGAGGTACACAATTTCACGACTTCTGGATTGAGTGCTAGGAAAGTAAGTTTAACTTCGGCGAGGCTTTTGGTAATTCAACAGTGATGTTCCGTAAATTGGATCATCTTCCATGAAATGATTCAACTTCTGGAAGAAACAGCGGCTCTGTCTGTTAGTTCACAGTAGCTTCTCAGAGGCTGAGTCTACCTGGATGGCCAGTGCAGATAAAACGGCTCCCTCTAGAATGCTTCGTTAACAGTAGCAACCTCTGTGTAGATTTCTTGGTCGCCTGATAACACACACTGCCCTTTGGGGGATCTCCTTGTCTTTTTAGGCCCCCGTTGTCTTCTCTCAACAAGAATGTGAGACACGTCACTGAAATGACCACTGAAAGGAAGGAGACTGCCTGGTCCAGTTTGATGGATCGTCATGTATTTGGCTCTCAGAAAATCCTCCTCCCCTTTTAATTTTGCTTCCCTTGACACCACTGCCAAATTCAAAATGCCATAAAACAGGGCTCCCCTGGTTGTGTTTGTCATGTACATGTAGGTGATGATAGGCCCCCAAAAGGACCGTGATAAATTCTGACTTCCTGTGTCCATTCTCAAGTCGTTTACCTACAACTTCTTCCTGGTTCTCCTTGGCTTCTTATCATGCAAATAGTAAGCCTTGTGACTGTGGCTGATGGAAAGGTTTCTCTCTGCTCAATAGGGGTGTGTTCTGATTTTGCTGCTCCTTGCCTGTAGTGATGGAGGCATTTGCCAGCAACGTGTAGCAAAGGAAACGGTGGCAGGAGTATGTAGCCATATCAACCCACACCTGAGGGACAGTGACAGATGGGCTGCACAGATGAGCAAGCTGTTCCATTCATTAAGGTTAAACCACTTGGTTGTACCTTTTTTTTTTTTTTTTTAATAATAGGGAGTTCACATGTGTGTTTCTAATATTTTTTCCTGTGAGAAAAATTAGTTCAGTCATTTGCCCCCTTTCATAATTGAACCCGATGCACCCCACTGAGCTCCTCCCCCTGCAGGCTCGGGGAGCCTTCACTTTGCTCTTGACATCTGGCCCAGGGAGGGATTTCATAGCAATAGTCTCTTCCACTCCAACGGCTTTCCCATCTGATCCCCAAGTTTCACTTACTATGGCAGTAACCTCTATACCAAGAGATTCTCCTAGCTTTTGGGTCCAGCTAGCTTGTTTCTCTCTATTAGTAAGAGAAAGTTTTGGTATGTATCGTCTACCAAATTTGGTTAGAAAAATATTTTAGAAAATAGGGTACATTCATAGCTTTCCCATTACTGAGCCATTGCCAGGGGGTAGCAGACAGTCTAGGCCAGTGGTCGGCAAACCGCAGCCCACGAGCCACGTGCAGCTCTTTGGCCCCTTGAGTGTGGCTCTTCCACAAAATACCACGGCCTAGGCGAGTCTATTTTGAAGAAGTGGCATTAGGAGAAGTTTAAGTTTAAAAATTTGGCTCTCAAAAGAAATTTCAGTCGTTGTACTGTTGATATTTATCTCTGTTGACTAATGAGTTTGCCGACCACTGGCCTAGGCAAACTCATTAGTGAACATAGCCAAATAAAACTCAAGCCTTGGTTTGCCGACCACTGGCCTAGGCCGTCTGTCCATGAGACAGGCCTTCCCTGCACATTGATTCGACGCCTTGAGGCAGGTACTAAGATCATGGAGTCCCAAATGCTTTTAGTTGAAGTATGTTGTGAGGAGGGTTTTTTTTCTTAAAACCGCCCAACAAGTGCTTCAGCATTTTCTATGTAGAATGGACAGATATTCCCTTGGAACACTGTAAACGGTGGTAGAAAATGAACTTCTAAAGGTTTGCCAGTCCCCCTTCTTAATGACTTTCTAATGAATCATGGCGTAAAGAGAATAAATGCTCTGAGTCACTGAGGAAAAGGGAGGATAGCCAAGACGAGAAAGGGAGACAGTCAGAGTTTGAAGCAAACTCTTCACTCTTTTCAGTCAATGGAGACAGATTCCCTCTTCTCCCCAGAATAAGACCTACCATCACAGCACATGCTTGTTGGTCTAGTTCCGAGTCTAAACCAGAGGATAATGCCATAAAAAAGTGGAGATATAGAGGATGAGGGGTGGGGCTGCAGATATCACATTTTTAAAAATAGCTCAATAATCTTAGCAAAGCTGAAGATTTTCCCCAAGACATGCATATGATTTCATTTTGGTTGTTTTTATTGTTAAAAATGACTTCCCCCCACCCCCACCCCTTCTCCCAGTATCTATGCTTTTGTAAAGTTACTGTGTGGATAATGAAAGCTATAAAACTAAGTCTTGTATAATTTAAATAGTTTGATTCAATTAGTAGATAGTTACTGAATGTTCAGGCAAGGGTTAGCCTTATGGGGGAAACTTTTTTTTTTTTTCATAATAGAAAAAGATTATGATACCACTTCTGTCTTCACAGGGCTTACAATTTATTGGATTGCACCTTAAAAAAACTTCATTCTAGTCCAGCTACGCAAAGATTTACAAACATGTACCCACTCCTCCGGTTTTTTCCATCAGTCAGTGGGTTCATTGTCTTATTAATTTATTCAAGTAACATGTACTGAACTCTTGATTTGTATAAGACCCCACTCTAGGTGCTTGCTATGAAGCAGCATTACTCAAGTGACTATTAGTGAGGAAATCACGTTCTCCCGGCAGAGGCAGGCTGGTAACGGGTATCTTAGTCCTAGAACCATTGTCTCGGTGAAGTGACAGGGATCCCTGCGGGATCAGAGGGATGAACACTCTGCTGAGGATCAGAAGGGAGCATATTTCAAAACAAATTAAGACGCACGACTTGATTGGTTTGAGTTAACTCCCTGGGCTATGGGTTCTTAGCAACAATATCAAGATGCTAGGATAAGGGCCAGGGTTGTAGGGGTTTTATGACCCTATTCCAGCGATAAGGTAAGAAATGGGGAGAGGGTTGGGAAAGAGCTGCAGACCTGCCTGGGTCTGAGCAGCCTCCCCGGACTGCTCTGGGCAATGCGCCCTGTTCCCGGTGCGTGCCCGTGGTGCTCCCAAAGGTAGGTCTGCCCACCTTGCCCTCAGGTGCTTCAGCAAGCACAGAGTGAGTATTCGCCCTTGATTTAAAAACAGCAGGTTTGGCTCAGTGGATAGAGCGTCTGCCTGCGGACTGAAAGGTCCCAGGTTCGATTCCAGTCAAGGGCATGTACCTTGATTGCGGGCACATCCCCAGTAGGGGTGTGCAAGAGGCAGCTGATTGATCGATAATTCTCTCTCATAGATGTTTCTAACTATCCTTCTCTCTTCCTCTCTGTAAAACATCAATAAAATATGTTTAAAAAAAATAAAAATAGCAGGTTTGGTCAAGTTTTGTTTTTTTAAGCTCTTTATGCACTAAAACTGGAGTATCTTCCTCTTCAGCAGCATGGCCTTCTGAGACCCCAGGTCTCTGGTGTATCATTGCAAAGTTCATTGCTCATCGTTGGTTATAAGGAGTTGTTCTTGTAAAAACAAACAACAAGTATTTAATTGCTAGTCATGCTATTACTACAAGGTGTCCCCCCCAAAAATGTGTACGCACTTTGAATTATTATAAAGTCAGTGTTTATTATTATAACATACAGTTCACCTTCAAAATGTGAAAGGATGTACAGTTGTTGTTTTTTTGTTTTGTTTTTTGGTCAAGGCCTGTTTTCAAACTGATGACCGTTCTGGCCCAGGCACTGTTGACTGGTAACGCGAAGCAATGGAATCGAAAACATCGAGTCATTTCATTCAATATTTTGTGTGCCCTCAATTTGTGGACTGCTGCCAGTTTTGAACCTAAACTTTATCTTTCATGTATCCCATAAAAG